CCCCCCCCCAGGGCGCTGTTCTCAGGCTTCTCTTTTGCCCTCAGGCCCCTCTGGGGCTTTGCTTCCTCGTGCCTTCCTCCCACTCATTCCCTCCCAACACCTTAGTGCAGTGCCCAAGGCCCTCTGGCGCCCAAGGCCCTCTGACCGGCCTCTGTCCCTCACCACCTCCCCACTCTCCCGCCCTCTCTGTGCCTGTGGGTGCTCCCTGTCCCCAATACATCTTCACCTCTGTGCCACTGGGGATGCCCTCCCGTCCGCCTGTCCACTCGTCCACTGGGGATGCCCTCCCGTCCGCCTGTCCTCAGTGCTCGCCTGACCACTGCTTCTCCTGTTTAAGACCCCTCTTGCAAGATGAGCGGCTTAGTCTGGCCTCGGCAGCCTTCTCCCTTCCCCTTCTGCCACGATCCCACTGTCATGCAGGTCCCAGGATTGCACAGGGGTGACACCCCAGGGAAGTTGGGGCTCACCAGAGATACTCTTGCTACACATCCAGTGACCTGACCCTCAGCAGATGCTCGGCCTGTGCTCACCTCTCCCCCACCTGCATCTGTGGCGTGGTGGATACACTGGGGCCAGGGCCACTGACTGAGCCATCGGCTTACTTCAGATCAGCCAGAGGAGGAGACAGAGCAACTAGGTAGAGGTCATGCAGCCAAAGCCATGCAGACCCTTCCCTGCTGTGGGGCTGCCTCCCCGCCCGCTCAGCGACACAGGGTGCGCTCCCGGCTGTGGGACCGAGGCCAGCCGTGCTCAGTGCTGCCTGACCAGGGTGGGACTTTGGGAAGGCTGCACCTGACATTGAGCAGAAGAGGAGAGGACAGCCACCCCACACTGTCGGAGGAGTGGCCAGGTGTGGAAGACACAAGGTATAGCCACCTGTTTCACCCCGTTTCACAGATGAGGGAAACCTGGGCCCAGAGAGTCATGGCCCGGCCTGCAGCACAGCTCTCCAGTTTCATCCGTGTGGCCTGGAGCGAGCTCTTCCCTCGTGCTGCCCTAGCTTCTTTCTCTGTGAAATGGGTGTGAGGATGCCCCAGCTTCCAGGGGCACCGGTGAGGATGCCAGTGGCCACAGAAAAGTCCGTCGTGCTGGGCAACTTTGTAGGATTGTCTTTGAAGTAATTCATGTATTTATGCAGCAGGCAACTCGTGATGTTGATAACCTTGGGGCCTGGGACGGGATGCTGAGATGGAGGAGGCAGGTGCGGCCGATTCCCAGGTGTCTTTGAGGCTGTGCCCCTTTGCCCCCTAGGGAAGCCTCATCTGGGGATACACAGATTGTCCTCTCCATGTGGTCCAGGGTGGACAGAGGTAGGGTCAGGGCAGGTCCTGCCTGTGGGATCGTGGCTGTGCCATCCTGAGACGGGGCGTATTCATAAACCTGTAGTTTGGACACCTTGTCTGTTCCTGAACTGCTCAGGTGCTGATGAGCTGGCCTTAGGCAGATGATAGAAGAAATCTTGGCTCTTTATTTCCTTGCTGTGTGACCTTGACTAAGTCACTTCACCTCTCTGAACTTCAGTTTTCGCAATTGTGAAATGGTGATGAGAGTACCTGCCTACCATGGGCCTGGCACCTGGTAGGCGCTGGCCAAGGGATAAGGTCCTCACCCATGTTGTTCTGTTGAGTTCTTTCTGTGAAGGCAGAAGCCCAGGGACCTGGAGCGGTCAGGGAGAAGGCCAGGCACGAAGTGCTTCCTGTAAAGGGTGGTCTATGAAGGGTAGGGGCTGGAGGACGGTCAGCAGGCAGGGGCCAGCAAGCGAGGGCCAGCTGGCAGGGTCGCCCTCGCCACCCGGAGGAAGGTACTCTGAGCCCAGCTTGACCCCCGCCAGGCTTGCTAAGAAGCAAAGGTTTTTGGCATTTAGGTATTAAGATATTTGCAAGTGAATATTTGCTCAACTAAGGACTGGGGTTTGCAAAGCAAATTCCACAGCGAATCTGGCTCGATCAGACCTCATCGCCAGCCTTTATTCTGGCACCCTAGCCCTGTGGTCTTGGGTAGGTCTCTTCCCCCCCCCCCCCAAATCTCAGGTCTTCACCTATAAAATGGGTTATTAATACCTGCTGTACCCGCTTCTCAAGATCCCAAGCAGTGCTTCGGATAAGGTGGCTTTCGTAAAGCGTTGGGATTAGATTGTGTCCTCATTGAGGGTTTCCCCCTGGATTCTGGTAGGGGCTTCTCAGACCTGTAGGACCAGGAAACAACTTGAAAACACTTTATTTTAACCTTGCCTGTCAGAAGAGACAACTTCACCCAAGCAACCATTCAGGCTTAGTATTGATTAGTCATTCTGTGAGAGAGAGAAACGAACCATTTGCAAGGGAGTGAGGCTTCATGGGAAACTCCACACCGTTGCCCTGAAGGTACTTCTCAATTTACTTTAGGGTCGCAGGAAGACTCTCACCCTCTGGAAGACAGAAACAGCAGTGCAGCCCATCATACTTCATGCTGCCTGGCTGCGAAGGCCTTCTAGTCACACAGGCCTGCCGTGGAATTTGCCAGAGTTGAGGGGCCTCTAGGCAGATGACCACACATGTCTACGGAAGAGCCCTAGACTGCCTTAGCTTCAGCCTCCCAACCCCCCTTTTCAACAGTGTTCTGAAACAAGTCCTTTTAGGGAAAATGTACATGTCCATTGCCTGTTTCTGGGAGATAACTTTCTAGAGATGCAACTTCTTGGGTCAAAGGGCAGTCGTCATTTGTGTCTCTAAATTGTCCTGCCTATGGCCCTTCTGAAAGTGTGGATTTGATGGCCCAGGGTGCCCCGTGTTCTCATGAGGACTGAGGCGGTCTACAGCGGGGCAGAGGTCAGAGGGCAGGGTTCAAGGCTAGGCCTTTGCCTCCACACTGTAGCCATTTACAGAGATGCCCCAGACCCCACAGTCTGTCTGGATGGGGAATGGGGTTTGGGCTAATGGCAACCGGGGTGATGGGGGCTGGGCGTACTCAGGTTGGATATAATCTTAAGCCTGTGGGACCCCCTTAGGGAGACCCTGAACTCCAGACTTCTCAGCCTGGAGACGCAGGCCCCGGGCTAGCGGGGGGCCTGCTCTACTAGGGCCTGGTCTAGACTGGAGCGGGATAGCAGATGGCACTGCGGGAGGTGTCTCTCCCCTGTGACAACAACTCTCTTCCCACAGGATGGCCGAGCCTCGGTTTAACAACCCCTACTTCTGGCCCCCTCCTCCCACCATGCCCAGCCAGGTAAGAAGGAGTCTTCCTTTTCTTCCCTGGGAGCTGCTTTGCTGTGCTGGGCTCCGGTTGCCACCAGTGGGGGGTAGGGGGCGAGGGTGGCGGGATGAGGGTTCCTTGCAAGTGGCCCCCCTCCCCCCACAAGGAGCCCAGCACGGCCCAAGCCCCCTCTGCCCGCACTTCTCTCGCCGGCAGCTGGACAACCTGGTCCTGATCAACAAGATCAAGGAGCAGCTGATGGCAGAGAAGATCCGGCCGCCCCACCTGCCACCCACATCGGCCTCATCACAGCAGCCGCTGCTGGTGCCGCCGGCGCCGGCCGAGAGCAGCCAGGCCGTCATGTCGCTGCCCAAGCTGCAGCAGGTGCCGGGGCTGCACCCGCAGGCCGTGCCGCAGCCGGACGTGGCCCTGCACGCGCGGCCCGCCACCAGCACGGTCACAGGTACGGTCACAGGTAGGGCGGGGTGGGCGGGGCTGGGGCACGTGGGAGGAGAGCAGGCGGGGAGGAAGGGCAGTGTCTGGGGGGCTTGGGGGCGCTAGCCAGATTTCCTTTCAGCCAGTACGGGGAAGACCCCGCCCTCCAAATGGACTGGACGAGGGTGGGTCACCCGGGAGGCCAAGTCAGCTTAGAGGACCTTGGGAATCCAGAGAAGCTGAGCAGTCTTGGAACTGGGTGAGGGGAGATCTCCTTGGAGGGGCCCTTGTGCAAGGAGTGGGCGCCGTGAGGAGGGAAATTCGTGTGTAGGATGCAAGGGCGGGCCAGCCTGTGCAGAGAGCGCCAGCGATGCCCTGAGACTCCCCCGGGGAGCCAGTGCCTGTGGAGCTTTCCGGGGTCGTTTCATGACACCCAGCGGCCCTGTAGCAATGGGGTGGACCCGGACCAGTAGCCCAGGCCCAGCAGAGGGCTGTTTTGGACTTTGGAGAACCACAGCTTCGTGCAGTTCACCCTGGTGGCCCCACTCAACAGACGAGGGAGTGGGGCTGCTTCACCGTCAGGCGAGGCAGAGGCGGCGGCAGGCAGCCCGGCTCCAGAGCCCGCGGTTAAGCCTCTGCGTGACCAGGTCCTGCTGAGGCCGGAGGAAGCAGGACCAGGCTGCGAAGGGCCTTGCTTCCCAATCTGACCCCCCTGCAGGCAGTGGGGCGCCACGGAAGGGTCTTTAGCAGGGGAGGAAAAGCTCGGGCTTGGATGAGAAAATGGAGCCTGGCTTCATGGTAGAGACTGACGTGGTGGGAGGCGAGCAGAGACCTGCAGGAAAGGACAGTGGCCCGGGCAGGGCATGGGGCATAGGGACAAAGCAGTTGACAGACCTGAGGTACACGAGGAGGACGGATGGGCAGGGTTTGGTGCTGGACTGGTGTGGAAGGCGAGCAGCGGGAGAGATGGGAGGCGGGATGGGGAAGTGGACTGGGCAGGGAAGGACACGGGCGGTCTGGGATAGGTCGAGGCCGGGACACGTGGTGGCGGTGGGCGGCGGCTGCCCGAGGCCCACTGCAGAGCCCGGTGGACAGGCTTTCTCCAGAGGCCACTGTGGCTGGGCCTCTGTCCCTCCCCGGCTCGGCCCCGCCGCCCGCCCGCCCCCTCCTCTCCCCCTCCGAGACCCAGAATGATGGGGCCCGGTGAGCCTCCCCCAGGCCCCAGCCACACTCTGCACAGTTCCCCGTTAGTATGATTTTATTAAATTTATTTTTTTCATTATAAAAGTAATATTAAAAAAGTAATATAAGCATATTAAGGGAAATTTGGAAAAAAGAGAAACTAAGAAAGAAAAGCACTTGTAATCCCCAGCTCCTCACCCAGCAGCTTCGTGAGTCTTCTGCTTTATTTCCTTCCCTGTCCATCTGTTTTTGCTTGTTTTTATGTGCGTGTGTGTTGCTGGGGGGTGGGGGGGGCGGGGCTGTGCCCATGACTTCCACTTGCTTTTCTGACTGGCCTTTCTATCGTAAATCTATTTAATGATGTAGTGCCTTTTTTTTTTCCTATTACAAAGATAATACATAGTCGTGGAAATTTTAGGAATTACAGACAAACTGAAAGGAGGAAAATCCCCCTAGTCCTACTGTTGTTAGCATTTTCATATTTCTCTGTAATTTCTTTTATCTTGAATCACAGACGTGGAAAACGAATGACGTCACCGGGGAAAAATTTCAAATAATACAGGAGCAGAGTAGACAGCCTGAAAATCTCCTTTTACCCAGAAGCTCTCCCCTGCCCAGAGGGCACCGCCGGGGCGCAGCGTCCTGGGTGCGGGGCTCCCCACGCGCTGTCCCCGAGTGCGTGTGGCGCATCCATTCTGCAGGGCTCACCCCGGTGGGATGTGTTTGTCCTCTGGCAGCGCCTTTGAACGCCCTGCGAACCACCGCCCGCCCCGCCCCCAGCTGGCACGGTGCTCCCAGCCTGGGTTACCCGCGCGGGGCCGTCTGGCCGGTTTTGCCGAGGACAGTACGGACAGACCTGTGGGCTCCCCCGCAGCTCGTACTTCATGGCGATGCCTAGCAGAAGGCGTTGCCAGGCTCCTGCCCACCTGCGGGCTCGGGCGGCGCCGGGCGCCCCGGGGCTCCCTGCGCTCCGCGGCCGCCGTGCGGACCTGGACCGTAGCTTTCTCAGCGCGCAGGTTGGGGTTCCTCTTTTTTAAACACAGTTTCAACCCTCCGGGTGATGCCGTGTTCATCTGTTGGTCCAGTTAACCTGAACCTGTAAACTTGTCTAGTGTCCTCGTTTTAAAAAGAGTTAACTTCTATTGCAGTGGTTTCAAAAAAGTTAATCGTCAAGGTATCTGAAAGTGTTGTTAAGCCAAAAAAGTTTATTACTCTTATTCCCGCCTCCACCACACTTGGGTGGTGTGTGCACGTGCCCCCAGTAAGACAAGCTCAGCCCGCTGGGTGGCAGTTAGCGTTCAGCAGAGGAGACCACAGGTCACCGGTCCTTGCCTCAGCAGCGCCTGCTCCAGTGGCTTCTGGCTGCCTCTAGCTGCCTGCTGTCACAGGACCCGGTCGGCGGCACGCACCTCCGTGTTCTCCCTGTGGGGTGAGTCCTCCCCAGAGGGCAGTTACCGGCCTCCCAGCCGTCTCGCTTGCACACGTTACCCTGAGCTAGTTGACCGAGGCAAGGAGAGGCTGAGCGAGAGGGGTGGGGGCCCGCCGACGTCACACCGCCGGGCTCCCCTCACCCCTTCCCACCCTGTGTCTTCGCAGGTCTGGGTCTCTCCTCCCGGACCCCGGCCGTGAGCACCTCGGAGTCGAGCACGGGCACCAGCACCCCATCCACGCCCACCACCACCAGCCAGAGCCGCCTCATCGCCTCGTCCCCCACCCTCATCTCAGGGATCACCAGCCCCCCCCTCCTGGACTCCATCAAGACAATCCAGGGCCACGGCCTGCTTGGCCCCCCCAAGTCCGAGCGCGGCCGCAAGAAGATCAAGGCGGAGAACCCAGGGGGCCCTCCTGTCCTCGTAGTGCCCTACCCCATCCTGGCCTCGGGCGAGACTGCCAAGGAGGGCAAGACGTACAGGTGGGGGCCTCGGCGGGAGGGGCCGGGTGGCGGTGGCCGCGGCTCTGCTGGGGGCTCCCCAGTGGCCCGCTGCATGGACTTGAGGGGCTCCTGGGGGCCAGGTCTGCAGGGGCGGGGCCCCCAGCGATCCAGACGGCGCCTAGGCCGCAGGAGTTCACGCCCTCTCAAGCAGTGCTCGCGACCCTTAGACTCTTGGGGGGAGCTTTCTAAAAAGGCCGATGCCAGGCCCGCACCGCCAGACATTCTGATTTATTGGAGAGGACAAGCAGGGAGGCCGGTATCAATCCTTCTTGCGAGCTTCCCAGATAACTCCAAGGTGGGGGTCAGCACCCCTCCCCAGGTCATGGGTGTGGCCTGGGCCGGGGGCCGAGATCTCCCTTCCTTAAGGGGCGTCAACTTACTCTCCAGCCTGCCACAAACGTGCCGCCAGGTGGAAGAGCATCCGCCACCAGACTGGGGGGTGCCCAGGCTGGGAGCCTGCTCCCCACAGGGGCCCGCGCCCTTTGGGCTCCCCACAGGAATCCTCTGTCCCAGGCGCGAGCTTTCTGGGTTAGAAGGTCGCCCCTGAATGTGTGGGCGGGGCGGGATCTTCCCGGGGTGAGCGGCCTCTCGCCCCACAGGTGTAAGGTGTGCCCGCTGACCTTTTTCACCAAGTCCGAGATGCAAATCCACTCCAAGTCGCACACAGAGGCCAAGCCCCACAAGTGCCCGCACTGCTCCAAGTCCTTTGCCAACGCCTCCTACCTGGCCCAGCACCTGCGCATCCACCTGGGCGTCAAGCCTTACCACTGCTCCTACTGTGATAAGTCCTTCCGACAGCTCTCCCACCTCCAGCAGCACACCAGGTGAGTGGCGGCCTCAGAGCACACCAGGCGAGTGGCCGGCTCGGCTGCCTCCTGCCCGGGCTCAGCTCGGCGCCCTGGGCGGAGCCGCCGAGACCTTCTCTAGGTGCTCATTGCCCTCATGTTAAGGCTAGATCCCTCGGCTTGGTGTCAAGGCCTTGGTGTTAGGGCTTTCGTGGACCTCACGGGCCTCAGCTCTCGCGACTGCACGGGCCCCTTCCGCGAGTTTCTCTGCATCTCTCCCACACAGGCTGGCCGTTGCCCGGCCCTCTCCTGCAACCTGCAGTTTCCTCCAGGAAGCGCTCGGAGGCCCTCTGAGCTGCTTCCACAGCCCTGTGCACCCCACACAGAAGTGGGGGGCTGTCTTGTGCCTGCCTGACCCTTTGCCCACTCCTCCCCACCCCTCTCCCCATCCCCTGGGAGCCCTCGAAGTCAGGGACTTGCACATCCCCAGTGTGTGCAGCATAATGAGTACACAGGTGTTTGCTTAGTATCTGTGGCGTAAGCAGCACGGGCATTTAGGCTCGTCCACTCCGCAGGTCCTCAGAGCCCCTGCCGCGTGCCAGCCGGCACATAGGTGCTGGCAGCGCAGCGTGACGAAACAGGCCGGCACCCTGCCCCGATGGAGTGAGGCCTCTAGTTGGGCGTGGGAGTGAGATTCAGAGATAAATGCTTGACAGGAGGACAGCTTTTGCAGAGATCACAGCATCAGAATGATTCTGTGCTCACCGGGTCAGAGCCCCAAGGCCTTGAAGGAGACAGAGCAGAGGCTGCCGGGGGCACCCACCTCTTAGTCGGCAAGCGGGGTCCCTCCTGCGGGACGAGCTGTTAGCACTGCCGTGTACCCGGCCACGTCCCACGTGCAAGGATCCAGTTGGTTTTTGCTGTGGAATTTGTAACTCGCAGGGAGTGCTCGAGTTTTCTTTATGTGGGGGACTAATGCTAGGCACCCTATTTTTTTTTTTTTTTTAATTTTTCTTCTAGTTATTTCATTTCTCTCTCCTGTCTTTGCACACCTGTTCCCAGGTGGCTCGGGTTTCATTTACCTGCCTCTGGCTTTGGGGCAGCAGACAAGGCAGTGTGGCTTCCTGTCACTCCCCTGCCTCCAGGGACACCGACTTGACTGTGCGAGTTTGTCTCAGCAAATTTCTAATTTTGTCCTGTCTGAATTTCTTAACTTTGACCCATTTTATGTCCATGGGTGGACGTAACATGGTGTTGCCGAATCAGCAAGCCCCCTTGGTCACATGGTTATTAAAGTCAGGGCCTGCGCTGCCAGGGTGGGGGGTTAACGTCTGTCAGGAGACTTTATAAAACCTCTGAGTCATCATTTTGATCTTGTGTGTGGATGTTCTGAGCGTGTTATCTGAGAGCAGGAGCCTAGAGCCACCCCGTCACCTCTGGCACTTCGTGCCTCTCCGGCCTCGTGTCTGGGGGGCTGTCTCCAAGTTCTTGTTTCGGGGTGAGCAGGAAGGACTTTTTTCTGTGCCCATAAAGGCTGGATCCCACGGCCCCACGCGCTGGGAGCGCTTGTTTCCAGACCCTGAGGCCGGGAGGCCTCATTCCCACATGGAATGGGCAGTCCTATTTGCTCCAGCCAGGCTGTCAGACTTAATTAAATGAATTTGTCTTTAAATGTGACATTTCTGGCCTGGTCATGGCTACATATTTGATTTACCCAATTATCCCCTGTTAGGAAGGAGGACAGATCGGTAGTGAACCTACTTACAGAATGAAGAGAGAAGACTCTCAGTAAAGGCACTCTGAATGTTTTTGAACAATTGTTCCGAGCAGTTTTGTAGACAAGCCCATATGTTGTTTTCAATAGAGCTATTATTTAAAATTTGCCTTATTAAAATTTTTAAAAAATGATTCTTCCCCCCAGTTCTTGCTTGGAACCAGGCACCACTTATGGAATATTTTATTCTAGTGTGTGCAGATACAGCCTCCTAAGCTGAGGGTGGGAGAGCCCCGAAAGAGTGAAAGGATTTCTCCCTTTCCGCTTTGGAAGACGGAACACTCACGGCAGTGAGTTCCGTGCTCTCTGCTCAGATGGCGGGTCAGCCAGGGTGCTTCTCTGCTTTGGGGCTGAGACTCTTGGGCCGTGTGGGCCAGGATGGTCATCGTCGCCCCCTGAGCTATAAAGAGCCAGTGCGTGGCTGCAGCCTGTGGCTGCCTGTTTCTGGCAGGTGGGTCAGTGTCTCAGCTGCAGCTGGAGGCAGAGGCCTTTGGCAAGTGGGAGGGGGCGCAGAGACGTTGACAATGGTGACGCTGAGCCAACTCTTAGGACACCCAGCGGTGTCAGAATGTAGGGGATGGAGTGTCTTGTTAGCACTCAGTGCGCCGTCAGCTCTTCAGAGTGAGCCGCCTGTGCAGGCTCTGAGGGCGCTGCCCGGCCTCCAGGCTCTTTCGCTTTATGGTCGTCACTAATGGGTGTATGGTGTCGTTGAGTCTAGGGAAAAAGTGCTCGTAAGAGACATTGCTTTGTTGATACTTACTGTCCCAGTCTCTGTTCATGAAAGTCAGTCATGTTTTTTCCCTCCATCTTAAGAAGTGCACACACAGGGGCCCTCCCTGGAGGCGCAGGGGGTTAAGACGCAGCACTGTGAAGTTGTCCGCAGCCACTGCAACACGAGTCCCAGCCAGGGACTGACCCACATGGCGCAGCAGACCTCTCCTGTCCTGCCTGCCTGCCTGCTGCTCCCCTCAGCAGAGTGTTTCATTAGATCCTCCTGTTCTGCTCCCCACTCTGTCTCTGGTGAATCCTCTCTCCCCCACACACACCTCTGGCCTGTACCCCAGCACTTGTATGCATAAATAAATAAACCTTTTAAAAAAGCATACACACACACATAATATTGGGTTGTTGGAAACATCATGACGTATTTTCTGTTTTTCAAGCAAAAATGCATCATGACTTTTCTGACCACCCGATACATTGTATTATATGTTATATATAATTGTATTGTAGATGATACTACGACACCTTATATCTGCAGGCATCATATATAATTACATACATGTAAAGTGAACTCGGGGAGATTGAGCCTTTCTTGCGATTTTCCAGCTTTCCTATACTGGAAACTTCAGAGCTCTGATCGCTCTGAATTCCAGCTAAGTAAAAATACACAGGACAGAGCCCACACCCCCTCATCAGAGCACACCTGTTCTAGAAAGCAAGAGATCAAAGCTCTGGCGTTGCTCTGCCACCCGGAACCCCAGGAGCATCTGGGTGTGGAAGCCACCTGCCTCCTTCTGTGACCCCGACTGTCCCTGGGTGTGTGAAGGGCCAGAGCAGAGTTGGCAGGAAGGGCGGGGCGCGAGTGTCAGCCTGGTTGGGAACATGCCCTGTAGCAAGTAACAAAGTGATGAAGACCCCTGTTTCTTCAGAAGCAAACCTGTGGCTTATATAAACCAGGGCCAAAAAGCAACACAATGAACAGGCCCTCGCAGGAGGGAGTTTTGTCAGAATGTTCTCGACCAGGGCTCTTCATTCCCAAGGGCACCATTTTTCCTTCTTTTCTTTCCAGTTGAGTCATTCGAGTTCATAATGGTGGGAAACCAAACAAAACAGCATAAGAGGGTCTTATCAGCATTTAAAGGCAAATGTTTAGTCATTAGGCGGCAGCACATATAATTAAACCAGTGTGTCTTAAGCCAGTGACAAGATGTGGGTGACCCAGATGCCCAAAAGTCCCAGAACCCTCTAGATAAAATTAGCCAAACATAAAGAAGCAACTGTGTGCCAACCCTGCTTCCCTGCCATTCCGCTGGTTCCCCCCATAGAGGAGCAGCCTGCCAGGCCATATAATCAAGTGTGTTTTCCCGGTGTTTCTCCGGGGGGTAAAGAAAGTCGTGTCCAGAGTGGAACCCAGGTCTGGTCGAGACAATGGTGGGTCGGAAGCAGGTGGAGCAGGATGCACCTAGTGGGCACAGAAAGCTGGCCTGGAGCATTCTGGGACCTGTATCTAGTGGGAATCTGGAGCCTTGCACTGGGTTGATAAGCTGCCGGGATGGGGAAAAAGGGGTAGAGAGGCTGTAGAAACCCAGGCCTTGACTGCTGGAACAGGGCTTTGGACTGTGTTCTGGAACAGGGGGAAGTAGCAGAGGTTTCCGGGACAAGGACAAGGTCAGGCCCTGTGCTGGACAAGGTCAGGCCCTGTGCTGGACAAGGT